ATTAGTAATAGGTCTGTCACTTACAGACCTAGAAAGAGTTAGCTGGGGGCGCTAAAGGATTAAATTATTGGTCCATAGTCACACAGCCATTATGCTAGGACTTGAACCCAGATCTCCTGCCTCCAAAGTTAACCCTCTATCCAGTACACCAGAGGCCAAGATTGCAGCCCACAAGAATCCTGAATGAACTATTTAAATGTAATTGGGAAATATTTAACAAAACTTTTAAAAATACAATAGAATATAGATAATGTTAACATGTTGTTTTCTAAGTGAATATGTGAGCAGTAGGGATCCTTGTGTACTTGTAGCCCTGTTTCCATTTAAATTTGACACCACATGGCTGTATCACACTGCCTTCTTTTTTTTTTATAAATTACTTTATTGTCTTATACACATAAATATTTGTATATATGTATGTATGTATATGTATATATATTTAATGCCCCAAGAGTCCTTGTGCAATTTTCTGTTATTAAAAGCTGCTTAAAATTGCACTAATACTTTTATATATATATATATATATATGTATGTATGTATACACACATACATATATACACATTACTCACACATCTATATGTAACACACACATAAATACACACATACACACACACACAATGCACTCAAGTTTGCATAGTAGACAATACACATTATGTGTGTATGTAGGTATATATATCCATACACACAATATTTGTGATATACATATATGTGTGTCTATGTATACATACCTGTGTTGCTTCATCTTCTCTGATACAAAGACCTTGCTACAATATATTGATGTTGAGTAAATTCAGTAATTTCCTGTAATATACATGTGATCTGAACAGAAATTATGAAGGTGTGACCTTTAGTTTCCTTCCAAAAAAATGGAATCCATGTTTGCATCAGCACTGTGAAATTTTCCCGCCCATCTCCCTCTCCTTCCTATTAGGCATCTGCTGTTCTTCTGTTCTGAGCAGATGTTTCTTTAATGTGCACAGAGCATAGAAGGTGGAGTAGAGTTACCAAGTCACTCCAACCTATTACACCCCCCGTGGAAAACAGGATGTCATCTTTTGCCAAGTATCAAAGCCCAGACCCAGAGTCCATGTGGCTATTGTTTCTGTTTTAATTTTGATATGTGTTCTTTTTCTTTTGGGGTAGTAGTGGATGGAAGAATGTGAGTTGGATCAATATACTTTCTCCTCACTCGAGATTGGATAATTTTTAGGAATTATGTGAAACAAGAGGTTTCCTAAAAAAACACATAAATGCCTTTGCATCTGACCTCCAGAAGACTGAATTTCTAGCATCCAAAAATTTAGGTCAACTGCACTGACAAAGCTGCTGATGCAGCTCTCACATGCTGATAACCACTATTTGTTCAAGGGATTTTCAGAAGGAAGTAGGGTATTATTTAGCTTATTTCATTTTCTAAATAGAACTTTGTGGTCAAGGGAGGCTTGGATTCAAAAACCATTCTTGCACAAAATCCTCTCTCTTCTTTCTACTTGTTGCATGTGCAGAACATTTTTTTTACCTTAGCCTATTCAGTCAAATCCCTGTAATCCAAATAATGTGTTCTTCATTTGCCTTCATTGCAGATGGTTATCTAGCCCCTCATTATAAATACCAGCAGTGTTCTTCATCACATTCTCACCTTCATCGAGCCTAGGTCTGAGCTGTTTCAGGGTGTATGGAGACTTTAGTTCCCTGTATGCTTTCAGAATTTTCTCTCTTCCCTTACATTAACACCATGATAGTCAGAACAGTTCTAATTCAAATTCATGATGTCTCTCTACTCCATCCCTTGCATATAATACATACACAGAGTTTTAGTTCCCCTTCACACATACAGAAACAACAATTTTGTTTTGTACGTTTTTCCTTTGTATACATGCACATAATTTTTCCTCTCTCCTCTTTCTCCTCTCTCTCATCTCTCCCTTTTCCTTTCTTTCCCTTCTCTTTTTTCCCTTTCTCTCCCATCTCTTTTTCCCTATATTTGTCTCTCATTTTCTCCCCCTTCCTTCCTTTCTGCCTCTCTCTGTCTCTCTTTCACCTTTTTGTCTCTGTTTTCCACAAACTCTCTTCCTCCCCCCCCTTCCTCTCTGTGTCTCTTCATGTATCCTTTATTTTCTTTGTCTTTCTCTCCCCTCCCCACCCCAGTCTCTCTCCTCTCTCTCCTTCATTGTTGCCTAGTCAGGGATCTGGAGCTATGTGCTAGCCGGCTCCAACAACACTGTCTTTTAAGCAAGACCACAAGTATGAAGTAATAAATGAGATTTTAAATGATGTTTGAAGTGGGTGCGAGCAATGTTGTATGCCTCGAGACTGACATTCTTGCAGAAGCCATTGTAAAAAATGATGAAAGGCAAATTAGTCACAGATGAGGCTAAAATGAAATGAAATTAAAAAATGAACCAATACATATTTTAATGATTTCCTTTTCCTAATTGGACTTGATATCACCATGTTTTGTTACTGGCATATTTTCATTCACTATTGTGACCTTCTTTAAAGAAAAGAAACTAAGAGCGGTCTTTTAAGGATCTCTCTTTCAGCTACCATGTGAAACAAAATTATTTCATACAAGGATAGGAGGAATAAATACATTTGAGTTTCTAGTAATTTGGGGGTACTTTGAAGATTTTAATTATTTATGACAATATCGCATTCAGTTCCATAGGTATGTTACCACACAGTCTTACTACAGTGAAACCTAGAAGAAAATCTACCCTCAAAAATGGCACATATGAAGATTAAAATCAAGAGTCAGGAGAGCAGGGTTCTAATCCTTTACTAATTAATTGTTTGATCATGGAGAAGCCACTTAGCTCTTCTGCTTCAGTTTCCTCATTGGCAAATTGAGATGATATTAGAATGATACTAGGATGGTAGCATCCTCTAATTCACCGGTGTCAGATGTGTATCTTAAGGACACATGAGGACCACAACACTCCTGAGTGTGGTCCAAACCAGATTAAAATGTAAGTAGGACATATTCATCAAAATTAATCAAAATACAATAAAACATAAGGTAGTACTGCATTTTAAAACCAAGCCATATGCAGGGATCCATATGTAAAGCTTAATAGCCACTGTTCTAATCACAGAATTTCTGTGATGAAAGCCTGTTTTGCAAAACATAAATTACTACATATATATATAATATATATATATATGACTTATTATTAAATGGTTGCTATTATTCAATAACTTAGAAGTCTTTGTGCAAAAGCTGAAAGACCATCTATGTTAATGGAGATATTGTACAGAGGATTATTGCCCAGGTATGATCAAGATGGCTCTGGGGTCCCTCAGATTCTGAGCTTCTGTGATTCTGGGACCTTCTGGGCTATAAATGAGACTAGAGGAGAAGAAGCCTAGAATTTAAGTTTCCCAAATCCAATTCCAGTCCATTCCCCATTTTCATAGAAAGGAATTGGTAGATTTTGATGAAATCTACAGAATGGCATCAAACTCATAGGGACACAGCCATGAAATCAATGAACACATAAAACTTGAACATCAAAAGTATCCTATCTACAAATTTTATTATTTTTAAACTCTTAAACTATAAAGAATAGCTTATTTCATGACTTTAACATACAAGGCTAAACATACATATGTTTAACATATGTATACACGTAAGTATGTATTGGAGAGAGAGACACATTGAAAAAGAGATAGAGAAACAGATAAAAAGAGAAAAGGGTAGAGGGGGTGGAGAGAGAGAAAGAGAGAGAAAACTTCTCCCTACTTCACTGAATTATAAAGATTCTTTTAGTTAAAAGAGGACTTAGAGATCCTCACATCTAACTAGTCCATTTGGAAGCATTTCTACCAGCCAAGACAAGAATAAATAAACTTCATGACCAGCAGCATTGTTTTCACTTCTAAATAAACCACATGAGAGACCACCCATTGGTAAAAAACAGTTAATGATTTTGTTATCAGTTTAAACACAAACACAGCCTCACTTTATCTTCATTTTCTTTCCCCTTGTGGGAAGGGGGAAGAAGGTAACATCCAAACATTCAAAGTAATAACAATTTGTGGTTTGAATGGCAATTTTTAAAATTAAATGTTTAAAGATGTCCTTTGCTTTTACATTGCCCAAATTCTTCCCTGTATCCCCTCCGCTGATATTCCTCCTCCCCTTCCCCGATAGTTATATAATAACAGATAGTAAAGAAGTATTTTAAGAAGAAGAGGAAGACAGGAAAAGCTTTAGCAAAGTTTATCAAGTAATTGAAAAAAATCTGACATCATATGCAACGTTCCGAATCTGTACCCTACCCCACCCCCCACCTCTGCAAAGGAAGTAGAGGTAGTATCTTCTCATATCTCTACTTTGGGGCTATGCTTATTTGCTATAATTTTGCAATATTCGTTTTTGGTTGTTTTGTGTTATTGATCTTCCCATTTACATTGGTGTAGTCATGGTGCACATTATATTCTTGGCCTTGCTTATTTCATTTTGCATCACTTAATGTAAGTCTTTCCACGCTTCTCGGTATTCATCATATTTATTAGTTCTTAAAGCATGGTAATATCCCATTATATTGTGTACCACAATTTGTTTAGCCATTCCCTAATCAATGGACACCGACTTTGTTTCCAGTTCTTTGCTACCACAAAAAAAGCTACTATAGATATTTTAGGGTGGAGTGTGTATGAATGTGTGTTTATACATGCATGTATACATACATACATAATATATATATATATATATATATATATATATGTAAAGAGAGAGAGAGAGAGAAGCCTTTTTTTCAATGACCTCCTTAGGATATATGCCTAGCAGTGATATCTCTGAGTCAAGGCATACGAAGATTTTAGCCACTCTGTTTTCATAATTGATAATAATAATAATAATAATACCTGGCATTTACAGGAAACTTTAAGGTTTGCAGAATTTCTTGCAAATATCTCATTTATCCTCACAACTCTAGGAGGTAAGTGCTATTATCCTAATTTTACAGATAAGGATGCAGAAGTAGACAGAAGTTAAATGATTTGCACAGGGTCACACAGCTACTAAGTGTCTGAGGGTGGATTTGAATTAGGTGTTTCTGACTCCAAGCCTAGCCCTCTCTCCACTGCAACATCTAGCCACCTTTTGAAGACAGGTGTTGAAAGATATCTGAAGACATAAACTAACAATCTTATCTGAAATTCCAAATTAAAAAATGAATATGACATTCATTTTTGGCTAAGATATTAATTTAGCAAAACATGTTTTCTGAAATGATCAGCATTATTATCATACTATTTTCTTTCTGTTTTCAGGATTTCAATTTCTTTCTTAAAAGTAGGTAGTAATTTTAAGTTCTTTAATCTTAAAAGAGAAAATATTTTAGATGGGCTTAGTTTATAAACTAGATTAATTACTTTGGGTACTTCAGTTGTTGCACTGCCTTTATAAGACATGATTACTGAAAATAGAAATAGAAATTTCTGTGGCATGTTGCTCTAATTTTCCCATGTTGCCTTGGTGGCCCTGTCTCCAGAGCAAATTGGAGTAGGGGATGGAGAGGAAATGCACAATGCTCCTAATTCTGTTCACAGCAGCTCCAGGTAATTTAGTGTGTCAGTCAAACCAAGCCAGGTGAGCTCAATTACTTTAAATGAGCAAGTCACCAAGGGCATGATGGTACAGAGAGGATGCCGTCTTGCCAATATATGGCATACTATGTAATTAGACAAAGAAATTAGTGTAATTTGGTGTAAGCCATTGCTTCCCTTGAAAGCACAAGTTTGAGAATCAATCAGTTGTTAATAGACAATTAACCTTAAACAAAATATTTACTGAAAATGTAAAGGAAACACATATATTTGCATATAGCTCCACCAATAAACCTCAATAGTATTCTCCAACCAATGTATATGGTGTCTATGGGGAGAATGGGCTTGCACTTAAAATTCCAAGGTAAAACCGTACATGTATGGAAGCCAAGGAAATTGACAGCTCTCATACTGTAGACTTTGGTCTCCTCTTTCTGTCTCAGGAACTGTCCATTAAAGTTTCTCGATAAGTGCAGCTTCTGTAAGTACTGATGCTCTTTGTGCATGATTAATACCTTAGCCCACGTTATATCACAGCTGGATTACCTCTTTGATGCTCTTTCCAAGCTGCTCCTCCACACAGCTCAGCTGACTCCTAAACAACTGAAACATCAACTCGACGTTCCAGCAAAAGCAGTGTTATGCTCTTAGGAAAAAGCAACAATCTTTATCCTAAAATTGGCAAACATCTTTCCAAATGTGTTTCTTTGCAAGATTCTTTTTCTCCTCCATCTCTCAACAGTCACAGCAAGACGCAATGCAGAAAAGTATCTTCCGTCTTTTCTTCTTCTCTTTATCAGTAACAAACCATAATAATTGTTGTTTTTATTATTTATCTTCTTAGCTGTAGTTGCAATGGAGAACACAGAGTAGTCTCCCTATTCCTTCTCAGCAGCAGGTGGCAGTAGAGGACGCTCCAGTCATCTCACCAGTCACATACTCTACCTGGCAATGAGTAGGGGGTGAGGAGGGGTTGTTCTCTTTAACATACTTCTGAAATCTGTTCTTCTACTTTTCTGTATTCTTCTGAACTTTCTTGGTTCCAAAACTAGATCATCTCTACAAAGGATCCCACCTTAACTTAGGGTTAGTAACCAAATTCTGTGAATAGTCAAGTAAATAGGACAAATGTCCTATAATTGTAGAATAGTTCTGGTGTCCATAGCTTCCCTATTCTAGAATCTTAAAGCTCTAAAACCCTTCAATTCTTCATATTCACACTAGTAAAAACAGACTTTGTTTTCCATATGGTCCAAGGTTCCATGCCCTGTCATATGCAAATGAGTGACTGACGTCTCAAAACAATTCTCAGGCAGATTCAATTCAGTAATTGCTTCTCTTAGAACCCAGAGTCAGACTTATTCATGTCCTAGATAAGTGAAATGCCAAGGCAGACTTTTAACTCAGCAACTTCCTTTTTCCTGGAACCTGAAGCAGACAATGCCTCAGACAAGTAAACTGTCAAGGGTCACCCTTTTACACATGTACATACTGTCTTCCCCGTTAGAATGTAAGCTTCTTGAGGGCAGGGTCTATTTCACTTTTATTTTTGTGTTCTCTGAGCTTAGCATGGTGCCTGGCACAAAGGGATCATGCAATAAATGTTAGTTGATTTAAGAATTGATTCTAATGTACTAAATATCACACAGATGGATTTTGCAAAGATCCCCTCACAAAGAGAGGAATGAATAATGCTAATGTACATGCTCCTTTTAGAACATTGAAGCTGCTTTCAATCCAGCAGGCAATAACTCCTTGGGAAGCATATGTACTTGGTCAATAATTCATTATCAGAAATGTTTGGCAGTGTGGTTTCACATGATAGGCTCTCCATAACATATTTCCCCACTTGCCACGGAAATGAAATATGCATAAAGTATTGTCAAATAACATGAAAGAGTGTGTTGTGAAACTGTGTAAACCAAGAAAACCGGTATTATTTCTCAACACATGCCATCTTGATTGAAATTTTAGAAGTCTGAAAACATGGTGTGAAAGGATGGTCACATTGAGCAAGATATTTCTACAAAAGTGGAGTGAGAACTTTGGCTTTTAAAATATTTTTGGTTTTAACTCAGGATCATTGGTTATTTTCATGTCTCTTCCATTTTACATCTGAAAACATGTTCAAATTCCACTATCCAGGCCAGAAAGAAACATTAAAAGAATTGTGTGTTGATCTACTACCACGATGTAGAATGCACGAATACATACATACATACATACATACATACATACACACACACACACACACACACACATATATATATATACATATATATATGTTGATTGAATACATATATGTGTATATGTGTTGATTGAAAAGAATCCAATATACTTTTGGCCTCCACCAAAGCTTCCCAAGAAAGCATCTTGGCTGCCTCAGATAGTAGAAAAAGATTCCCACTGCTAATTATTAGTCATGTCTGATTGAAAACAGATTGGATGTTCTTTCCACTGGAAAGAGACACATTCACTTTGTAAAGAATCCAATCCAAATCGAAATCCAATGAGCATTTATCAAAAACCTACTGTGTGTAAGGCACTGTAACAGCAGCTGGGACTACAAATACCTCTCCCCGCCTCCACCTATCCAAGACAAATAGTCCCTGTCCTCAAGGAGTTTACATTTTATTCGTATCTGACAGAAACACAATCAAATAAAACACATGCTGATTTGAGGAGGAGGACACTTTCTAATAGACTGAACTCACTTATTAGCCATATTAGAATGGATCCTGAGCATAGGGTTAGTTGGCTCCATTTGTCTAGTAGGAAAAGGATTAATCTAAGCTGGCCCTGAGCAAAATTCAACTCAATCAATATTTAAGAAAGACGGTAAGGTGGGTGTGACAAAAAACATAAAAAGCTTGGTCCCTCAAGGAGCTTACATTCTATTGTCAAATATAATACAGACAGATGTGTAAATACAAGACACTATGGGAAGGGAGAAAGTATTAACAACTGATAGGGTCAGGGAAGATTTCCCATAAGATAGGGATTTGGGGGTGGGAAAGGACTGCTAAAGATTGTAAGAGGAATGGGGGCCTGTTCAGAGGAATGGAGATGAGAGATGGTGAGGGAATGGCTAGGAGACAAGTTTGGTTGGAATTCAGAGTGAGTGATGAGGTATAAGGTGCAACAAGTTTGGAAAGGTAGGCTAAAGGCTGATAATTTTTGTTGTTCAGTCATTTTTCAGTCATGTCTGACTCTTCGTGACCTCATTTGGGATTTTCTTGGCAAAGATACTGGAGTGGTTTGCCATTTCCTTCTCCAGTTCATCTTACAGATGAGGAAATTGAGGCAATAGAGTTATGTGACTTGCCGAAGGTCACGTGGCTGGTGTCTGAGGCCAGATTTGAACTCAGGAAGATGAACCTTCTTGACTCCAGGCCCACCGATCTATCCACCGTGCCACAACAAAGGACTTTAAATGCCAAACTTAGGAATTTGTCTTTTATCTTAAGGGCAGTTGGGAGCCTCAGAAGCTCCTTCTTTAGCTAATCATGGGTCAGATTTGTGCTTTAGAAAGGTTATTTTGGCAGCTTTGTGTCAGTTGGATTGAAGAAAGGAGAGACTAGAAATTGATTATTTTTCTCAAACTCTCCTGATTGGCTCTAAAGAAGACGTTCCCTTCGCTTTGGCTTCCTGAACACAACACAGCCAACACCATTTTTTTTTTCTGGACTGAAACAGTGTACTCTTCTATTTTGTGGAAGTTAAACTAGGACCTCACAAATGCCTCAGATCAAAAGGGAGCATTCTGCCTCATCATTTATATTAAGTCAGTGTGAATTCGTTTAAAATGTCAAATTCAATTTAGATAAAATTAGTTTGGAAAACAGCTGTCTCATTAAGAAAGAGGTTAATGAGGAAAATATAATCCTCCCTAGAAAGCCATTGGAATCCAAAGCCACATTTGCATATGTGGTATCTGAAAAAAGTCCAAGGAATTTTGGTTTTGGTTTTTTAAATTGTTTATAATGTATTCTCTTTTCATTCCATCTACAACAATTCCCAGAAATGATGGAATCAAAAGGCAGAAAAACATAAATATGTTTGGAGCTCTTATTCAATTGTCCCTTGCAACATTAGGCTTTCAAAGGGGAACCGGTTACAAAGCAGGTGATTATGAGTACAATGGAGAAGGACCTTATTAAACAAACGAAAAGCCCCAAACCTAGCCAACTGAGTGATAGCGTCTAAAAGTCTGTCATGTCAAGGCCCCTGGTGCCAATTTTTACAACATAATTCCAGCAATAATGAAACATTCATTTGCATGGCTATGTTGTTGATAATCCAGGCTTTAGGACATAAAACATATTGGGTAATTTCTTTGATTTTGTTATTTTCAATTAATCAATTACCACACTACTAAACTTTAAAAAAATATCATGACTTTCTAATGAACTTTCAATACAAATTTACTCTGGGGAAATCACTGACCATGCTGCACCATAAAGGAAAGTTCCACAAATTTGGAGTCGGTGGTCTTGGGTCTGGACCCCAGTTCTGTCATTTATTACCTGAATGACTTTGGATAAGTTGACTCCTATGAACCTCCATTTCTTCATCCATTAGATGAGGGGGAATTGGACTAAAAATGACCTCAAAGATACCTTTCAGCTCTAAATCTATGATTCTTATTCAGGAAACAATTTTCTCATCTTTAAGAACATTTCTTTGCACTGAATTGAAGAAATAGGTCAAGTCAGGAAGGAAACTGGGTTTTTAAAAAACAAAACACATGCAATTTTTTTTGTTCCCCATGGGGCTGAGCAGAGAGCTCATAACATAGTGTTGCATACAGGACAGAGAAGCACATTCAATAAATCAATAAAGCACTAGAATCTCTTAGAGTTTAAGTGACTGCTGGATTTAGACAAGCTTATGATTTCAGGCTGCAAGGTACCGCTCAGTTCATTATCATATTGTTGCCTTATTATGAGAATAACAAAGCTTATATTCACACTTATACTTACATGGAACTTTAGGAAGAATTATCTCATTTATACCAAATGCTACCATTATTTAATGGTAATAAGGAGGATTACTTTAAACTGCCACTTTAATGTCCATGAATAACCTCCTACATCTGTCCCCATCTGGAAGATTAAAAATGAAAACAGTATTAGGTAACTTAATAATGTCTTCTCCTAAAATTTCTATTTGTTTTTTTTTAATCCCTCCAGCCACAGATGATTTAAAGTTCTATAAATCTATTTTAACCAACTCCTTTTTACTGTTCATAAAGAGGAGTTGGTTTATTTTTATAGAGGATACATAGATTTGGCAGCCATTGGTAATGAAGGAGAGGAATAGGAAAAGACTTACTTTCCTATGACTCTGAAGGATAAAGCTGATAAAAAAAAGGACTCTTTGAAATTTTTTTTTAATTTGACAAAAATTTGTTTTCCTCTCACTCACTTCCCCCCTTCAATTAAGGGAAAAAAAACAGCAAAAGAAAAACAAAAAACTTGTAACAAATATACACACTCGAGCAAAATAAATTCCTGTATTGTCTATGTCCAAAAATATGTGTCTCATTTGGCATCTTGAATCTATCACCTCTCTTTCAGTTGGTGAGTATCATGATTTATCATTGATCTTAGAATTCATTGGTCATCGCATTGATCAGAGATCCCAAATCTTTCAAAGTTGTTTGTCTTTACAATGTTGTTGTTGTTGTTATATAAATTCTTCTGGTTTTGCTTACTTCATTCTGCATCAGTTCACGTTAAGTCTTCCCAGGTTTCTTTAAAACCATCCCTTTAAAAATTGTCTTACAGCAAGTTTCTTGATAAAAGGCTCATTTCTCAAAAATATAGAGAATGGAGTCAAATTTATAACAATTCAAGTCATTCTCCAATTGATAAATTGTCAAAGGATGTGAACAAGCAGTTTTCAGAAGAAGAAATGAAAGCTATCTATAGTCCTAAGGAAAAATTCTCTAAATCACTACTGATTACAGAAATGCAAATTAAAACAACTCTCAGGTACCATTTTATACTTAACAGATTGGCTAATATGACATAAAAGGAAAATGACAAATACTGGAGGGGATGTAGAAAAATAGGGACACAGTCTGGGAACCAAGGTGGCGGGTGGAGTAAGAAGTAAGTTGCTCTCACTCTCCTTCATTGACCTCTGAAAGCCTAGAAAATATTGACCCAGAAAAAGCCCTGAGTCAGCAAAAAGACAGGGCACAGCAGGAGAACTCAACATGTTTTTTTAAGCCAGGAAAAAGGCAAACACCATGAACAAAAAACAGAAATGGACAATGACCATGGATTCTTATTTTGGGGAAAGGGAAGATCAAGGCACAAATTCAGAAGAGGACAACATTGTCAATGTACCCACATCTGAAACCTCAAAGGGGAATATGAACTGGTTTCAAGCCCAAAAAACCTTCTTGCAAGAGCTCAAGAAGGATTTTAAAAGTCAAATAAGAAAGGTAGAAGAAAAATTGGGGAAAGAAATGAGAGGTATGCAAGAGAGAACCAATAGCCTGGAAAAGGAAGGACAAAAATTAGTTGCAGAAAATAAATCCTTAAAAAGCAGGATTGGCCAAATGGAAAAGGAGGTACAAAACTCACTGAAGAGAACTCCTTAAAAAGTAAAATGGGCCAAATGGAAAAAGAGGTACAAAATCTAATAGAAGAAAAATAGGGAAACAATGCACTATTTGTGGAGTTGTGAACTAATGTAACCATTCTGGAGAGCAATTTGGACCTATGTCCAAAGTGCTATCAAACTGTGTATACCCTTTGACCCAGCAATACCACTACTAGGTCTGTACCCCAAAGAGATCAAAGGACAAGAAAAAGGACCCACATATACAAAATATTTCTAGCAGCTCTTTTTGTGGTGGGAAAGAATTTGGAAATTGAGGGGATGCCCATCGATTGGGGAATGAGTGACCAAGTTGTGGTATATAATTGTGATGGAATACTATTGTGCTGTAAGAAATGACAAGCAGGATACTTTCAGAAAAACCTTGGAAAGACTTATATGAATGATGCAATGTGAAGTGAGCAGAACCAGGAGAACATTGTACACTGTCACAGCAATTTCGTATGACGATAATCAACCATAAATGACTTAATTATTCTCAGAAATACAATTTTGAAGGACATAATGAAAAAATCTACCCACCTGTGGAGAAAGAACTGATGTAATCTGAATGTAAATTAAAGCATACCTTTCTTTATTATTCTTGACTTTTTTGTTTACATTTTCTTTTGCAGCATGGCTAATATTGAAATGTCTTGCATAACTGCACAGTATAATCTGTATCAAGTTGCTTGCCTTCTCAAAGAGAGGGGAGTGGAGAGAGGGAGAGTATTTTGAATTAAAAATTTTTTTAAAATGCAGGTTTCCCATAAAATTTTTGTTTAGATGTAATTGAGAAAAAAATAAAATAAAAATTAAATTAATTCATCTTTTAAAACAATAACATCCCTTTTGTCATTTCTTATGGCACAATAGTATTTGTTCCATTTTATTCCTATACCATAATTATTTGAGCTATTCCCCAATAGATGGGCACCTTCTTAGTTTCTAGTTTAGAACTACTTATGAAAAGAGCTGCTATAAATATGTTTGTACATATGCATTCTTTTCCTTTTTCTTTGATCTTTTTGGGGGTCATAAACCTAGTAGTGATATCACTGGGTCAAAGGATATGCACAGTTTAGTAACTTTTGGGGCATAGTTCCACATTGCTTTCCAGAATGACTGAACCAATTAAAACTCAATCATGGGGCATTAATGTGCCTGTTTTCCTGCAGCTTAACCGCACCCCCAACATGACAGGACTCAGTTTCCCATAATACCCTGACCTCAAGGCACAGGGCCAGTTGGAGGGAAAGAAGAGATTTCTAGGGTCAAGAAGGGAGCAGGTACATGGGAATATCAGGGCATCTTGGAGTCATGACATCAATCTGTACCATGACAGAGGTCGACGTTGCCTGTCAGGCTAACATTGAACATTGAATGGTAGATGAGCTGATAGAGCATGGCAGCTGCAACAATCTGGTTATGCTTTATAGAGTTCTGGTGCTGCAGAACTGAACTTGAAATAGATAGCTCCCTTCAACAAAGTTCTCCAGCTCCATCTAGGCTTTCCTTTTTGGAGTGTTGTGGAGTGTTTAGTTTTTTGTTTTGTTTTGTTTTAATGCAGAGACTGGTCCCAACTATTAGGTAATGGGAAAGAAGTTCTATTGCCTCACTAAATGGGACTCAGAGACCAGGTAGTCAATCTTCTTGTAATGAGCTCTCTCCCTTTTGGTTGTTACTCAGACAAGGAACACAGTCACAGGGCCATTAATTCAAGTCTTCAATTTCATAGTATCTGCCAGGGCTCATGATCTGCTGACATATTCTTGAAGAACCCAGGGTGAAATACTGACCCTGGAGAAGGGATGAGGTAATACACATTTTATGGGATCATGGGCATGCAATTTTGCAAATGCTATGAGACAAGGTCAATGTGTAGGCTAGTTTTGCTTAACTTTTTTTTAAAGGAATGTTTGCACTCACGAGGAAGTATATATTCAGAAGTGATTATGTTGTGAAAACAAAAGATTTCAATGAAACTTTTTAACATCACAGGCTATCATGTATTGGGTAACCTACAGCAGCCACATTAATGGAGTGCCAATCTCTTTCTGTTATGGAAGGTGTTATTACATCCTAAGGGACATCAAAGCTTAGTGGAAAGAGCATTGGATTTGGAATTGGAGGTGAAGCCATAACTAGCAGCTTTCTCACGTAGGACAACCATCATAAAATGTACACTTAAATCAACTTAAGACAGATTCATTTGGGAGGCTGAGAGACCTTGGGACACAAGGTCCTGATGGGGAAAATATCTTGAGACTCTCTAAGAAAGATGCTGGAGAGGTTGGGTAGGGGTAGAGAGGGAGCAGAACAGGTGACCCAGACCTTGCTTTAGGTCACCAAAATGTAGAAGCCATTGAAAATGCTTATTATCCTTCAGGAGCAGAGAGACAATTAAACACTGCACCTAGTTAGCAGGAATAATTAGTTAAAATAGGAAGTTATCAGATAGCCTTTTACCTCCCAAGGCACATGCCAAGTGTCATATGTATCTCTTGACAAATACTAGTTACTTTGTGATTAACCTATTGGCCATGGAGGTGATTCTCTTGGGTGAGGCCATCTGGTAGTTTTCTTTTTTTAACCAACTGTTCTTAGTAATTAAGTGCTAAGCTAAGTTGTTTCTACACTGCTGACCACTGTCAGCTTCCTCTAAATTTTGGTGCCTCATCCCACCTCAGTTCTGGTTCTGATGGGAGAACCTAGGTTTGAATATTAGATGTGGTCTTTATGACCTGTGTTTGTTGTTGTTGTCCCATGGACCATAGCACTCAAAGCCCTTCTGTCCTCCACCTTCTTTTGAAATCTGTCCAGGTGCATGTTTGTATGACATATGTTACCTTGGTCAATTTATTCGTCTCTATGATTCTTAGTTTTTTTAGCTCGAAAAATGAGAGAGGTTTAATTAGATGATCTCTACTATGCCTTTTCAATCTAAATTCTATACTGCTATACATTCCTTCTTATTTGTCCAGTGAACAGCCAGTATTTAGGGGAAAAGGTGTGGGGGGTGTTTTTTGGGAAGACAGATGTACAATTTTTGAAATGGTCCAGGCATTCTGGATTTCAATTTGGAATTATGCCATAAAAGTGACTAAACTGGCCACATCTTTTGGTCTGGAATCCCTATCTGCTAGGCAGATACCCAAAAGGACGTCAAAGGTCCACATATGCCAAATTATTCATAGTAGCATTCTTTGTCATAGCAAAGAAACAGAGCTGATATCTACTGATTTGGGGATATGTAAAAGAAAAACCCAACCTATGGCTTATTAATATAACAAAATCTTATTATATAGTAATACATGAGGAATATGAGGAATTCAGAGAAATACGAGATTTAAATGAATTGATGCAGAGTGAAATAAGCAGAACCATAAGAACAATATATATATATATATATATATACATATATATGTGTATACACATATATTTATGTTGTGTGTATGTATATAGATATAGATATACATATACATATATGACCATAACAATGTAAATAAAAAGATAAAGGAAGTTAGTCTCCAGGGAACTGGAAAATCAGTGAAGTTCAGAAGACACAAAACAGGATAATTTTTTTACTAGAATATTAAATATATACTTTAAAAAACAAATAGGAGTTTAGTTTCATATATAGACTTCCTTTTTGTTCTTTATACACCAAAATGTTCGCATTGGCTGACATTTGTTAAATTTGTAAATAAAAACAAAATTTAAATTAAATAAAACAATGAAAGTCCTGGAGAACAGATAATGAAACATGCCTCCTCCTTGACTACATAGAGGTGAGAGATGATACAATTTCAAAATAGGTCACAATATTGGATTCTTTTGCTTAATTGGTTTCGTTTTTGTTGTTGTGAGGAAAACTTGGATATAGAACAGGAAGAGAAAGAAAAAAGACACCAATAAGATATAGTTTACAAAAAGAAAAAGAAGATAGGCTAATCCAAAAGGCGCGAACGCGGGACAACAGGCAAAATTTGCCAAAAGACAACTGTCATCTCAATATAAGGAAAATTCTTGTAACAGAGCTGTCAGAAAGTGAGATTGGGTTGCCATGGGATCTCCCATTAGGCATCTTTAGACAAAGGCTAAGATGGAGAGGAGATATATATTTTTAGGTAGGGGTTGGGCTTGATGACCTCTGAGGTCCCTTCAAGTTATGAAATTTTGTGATTCTGGGTTTTTTCCTTTCTGGATAGCTATTCCCAGCTAAGGAAAATACTCAGTGTCCCAACAAGATATTTTGTGGTTGGGGTTAGTTGGGGGCAGGGGTTGAGGGGTGGCTTTGCCATAATAAGCTGTCAACAATAAATGCTTAAGTGTTTATTAGCTCTAAGATTTCATCTATCTCCTGCCACCAGTGCCAGTCATAATCTACCCACACTTTTTTTATGCTATGATTCTTGTCCACTTCTCATATATCTTTTTTTTTCTTCCTATAAATCTTCTAACTAACATGTGAGAGGTCTCCCTCTCAATTTCTTAAACTTTAATAGATACTTGGGAAATACTTAGGCTGTCCTCCCTCATTTTTTGTTGCATGATCAGCTCCCTTTTTTTGATAGAGAGAGATAGAAATACAGGTAGATAGCTCATTTAAGAACTTATCATAGGGCCAGGCACTGTGCTTAATGCTGAGGATAAGTATAAACAAGCAAGACAATCTCTGCCCTCTAGGAGTTTACATTCTGATGGGGGAAGATAACACTTAAAAGGATGCTGTGAAGAGAAAAGGAAGAAGGAGAAAGAGAAAGGGAGGATGGTAGTCCTGTGTGGGGAGTGTGGGCTCAACTATTAGATCCCAGGGACCCAGATCCCAGTTTATGTTAGGATCAGAGAGTAGGACAATTATGAAGAGACAGTAAGGAAAGGTGTTCATGGAGGTCTGGGGCCCAGAAAGACGAGGCAAAAGCTCACCTGTTAGAGTCAAGGGGCCCAGACACAAAGTCCTTTGGTTGTGCTTTGCTTTGTGTTTGTCTTTTATGTCACTTCTTACACACCTCTCACTATTGGTGATGTGCTACAGCTATTTTAGATCCACCATTCACCTCTCCATTGCCCTGAGGATTATTTACAATTTTGATTCTTCAGAGATATAGTGTTGCATAACTATATGTGTTGTCTCCTAATATTAGAATGTGAACCCCTTGAGAGCAGGACTGCCTTGCTTCTTTGTTTCCTTAACTTTCAACACAGAGCTTTGCAAAAAAGTAAATTCTTAGCAAGTGTTTTTGCATTCATTCATTCATTCATTGAAGTCACATGGCATAATAGAAAGAATAACGGTTTTGACAATTGAATGCTTGTGTCAGGGAGCAGCCTGGGCTCATTGAAAGCATTGTACAATTTTCCAAATGCTGCCTAGCCTACCTCTGCTATAGAGCAATAACCCTAATGAATTTCCATTCAGCTTCATATGTAACCCTATTTTTTCTGCTCTATTTTGTATATGAAAATGTTCTCACTTTTGGTGGGAGGGGTGTTCATTAAATTAAGAATAGAAAAAAAATCACTTACACTTTCTGGGCCTCAGTTGCCTTACCTGTAAAGTAAGGTGTTGGATTAGGTGACTGCTAAAATCCCTCTAAATTGAGAATCCTATTTTAATGAAAGTACAGCTGTCCGGGAGATAATCATTAGCACCCTTTGCTCCCTACCCATTTAGTCTCTGGAGATTTAATCAGCTACCCCTTGCTACAATAATTAGCTTGCTTTTTAGCCGAAGAGCAATACAATAGCTCCTCATTGTCCACAGGGTTTCCTCTACTACTTAGTAGCGTTTACATTGTTTATCTTAAGACTAAACAAATGATAGGATCATAAAATGGATAATCTTGATTATGTGAAATTTAAAAGTTTGTGCACAGATTTAATGTCACTAGTAAAAATTAGAAGGGAAAGGGTAACTGGGGAAAAAATCTTTGCAACAAGTTTCTTTGATAAAGGGCCCCTTTTTCAAGATATAAAAGTACTGATTCAAATTTATAAGACTAAGAGACATTTCCCAGTTGATCAAAAGTCAAAGAATATGAATAGATTTCAGAAGAAAAAAATCTAAGCTATCAACAATCATATGAAAAATGCAATAAATTACTGATAGTTAAAGAAATGCAAATTAAAGTAACTTCATGGTTCTATCTCATACTTATCAGACTGGCCAAGTTGAGTAAGAGAGAAAATTGTTGAATGTTAGAGGGGCTGTGGGAAAAAGGTACTAGTTCACTGTTGGTGAACTTGTGAATTGGTCTAGCCATTCTGAAAAGCCATTTGGAACTATGTCCAGAAAGTTAACACTCTGTGCATACCTGGGATTTCCTTCTATCCAAGTGTGTGCTTCCATAACATTTAGTTTCCTTAATATCCCTGGGCACTAGAATTCTCCCCACTGTTATCATTACCACTGCCACTCCACTGCTGCCACTGATGTTGTAGTGTTTTCCTCAGCAGTCCCCATCTCAGTGTCCACAGACTTCTCTATCTTCCTAAGCTGCCCTGGGCTGGAAAAACGACTCATGATTTTTTCTTGGCTTCCCTGACCTAAATTCAGTTGGGCACACTTTGATACACATATTAAAGAAATCGAAGAAAGAGGAAAAGGATTTATGTGCACAAAAATCTTTCTAAGAACTCTTTTTGTAGTAGCCCAAAGTTGGAAAATAGGGGAATACCCTCCTATTAGGAGTGGCTAAACAAATTGTGGTATGCGAATGTAAGGGAATATTATTATGCTGTATGAATTGGAAAATTGAAGAAACCAAGATACCTTTATGAACTGCTGTAGAGCAATGTAAGCAAAACTAAGAGAATGATTTACACAACACTATAGAGAAAAATAACCTTGAAAGACTTTGGAACTCCAATCAATGAAATGATAAACCAAAAGAATGAAGATGAAACATACCACTCACCTCCTAACAGAGGGGTGATGAACTTAAATGCAGAAAAAGATAAATATTTTTGGATGTGGCTAATGTGGGAATGTATTTCTGCCCAGACTGTGTAGATATGTATTCAGTACTTTTCTTTCAATTAAAAAGATATTGATTAGTGAGGGCTGGAGACACCGATTAATTTTAAAAATATTAAAAAATAAAAATTGAAAATAGAATTAAAAATTAAAAAATTGAAAAATAAAAACAATCAACTAAAAGTTAGGAAAACAGCCAAAATTACTCAAAGTCCCTTGGAAAATTCCCAACATTTAGGCAGAGGTTTGTCTTTCTGCCTTAATTTAAATTTTTGTTTAACTCTAGATAACCCTTGGCCTCTTCATGGTTGAGGCAAAAGTTGTGGTCCTTGGAAACATTAACATAAAGAAGAAAGCAGAGTATGTTAGAGTATCTGTTAAAGGATGGACACCAGGAGGTGAGGCTGGGAAAGAACTAACCTTTTCTTGGAACTTCCCCTAGTCCTTGAAGAGATAGGTAAACTTGATGTTTTTGCCCAGAGTCTTCTGTTTCAGATGTCTACCAAGAGCAATGGTCCTCCTTGGTCACGCTCTTCTCTGTAGCAGCTCTGTTCGACTTTTTCCTTCTCCTTTTTTCTGTTGTCCCAGGGCCACTGATGCTCGTTAGGTCCTGCAAGAGGTTAGAGAGGCTGATACTATTCCTGCTACTACTGAGGTATTGAGGTCTTCATAACTTAGGTCTCTCTTAGACTGTCTCCTTAAGAACTCTGAGATATGTCTCTTCAAGAATTCAACTGTATCTTCTAGCTCAAAGAACTCCATAGTTCCTAAATGCTCCTCCTGGCTGAGAGAATGCTTCTACCTGTGTGAAATAAGAGTCCTAAAATGCCAATCACTTCTCAAAATGGCACTATGATTTTTTTTTCCAACTCCTGCTTATTTCTCACTTATATTTTCATTAAGAATGCCTTCCAAAATACATAGATAATTTTAATAAATATTTCATATAGGTAAGATTTTCTTAGACACTTTTTTGGGGGACAATGCTACCTGTAATTTTTTGCCCCAAGATGTTAGGATCTTCTCTTCTTTGTGATAGCATGAAAATATCCAAATGTATTTTAAATCCTGTTTCCCCTAATATGGATTTCTTTTGCAAGATCAGGTTTGGCACTTCTAGTGGTTTCATTTTTTAAAATTACATTTTAGGGGCAGAGTGAAGATGGCAGAGTGAAAGGTAGCATTTCACCTCAGCTTCTCTCCAAACTTCTCCACAACAACTTTCAAAGTGTGCCCGACTGAATTTAGGTCAGGGAAGCCAAGAAAAAATCATGAGTCATTTTTCCAGCCCAGGGCAGCTTAGGAAGATAGAGAAGTCTGTGTACTCTGAGATGGGGACTGCTGAGGAAAACAGTACAACAGCAGTGGCAACAGTGGAGTGGCAGTGGGTTGCAGCAGTGGTAATGATAGCAGTGGGGAGAATTCTAGTGCCCAGGGATATTAAGGAAACTAAATGTTATGGAAGCACACACTTGGGCAGAAGGAAATCCCAGTGGATCCCTGCAATAGCACTGGGAATGGGAAAAGTGCCGTCTATCAGCTCTCATGTCCATTATCCAGGCCTGAGTCATAGTTCAGGGCAGAGAGGAGAGTAATTGCAAGAAACTACAGCCCTACCTGTATAAGGAGCAAGAAATAAGTTCCAGAAACATAGCTGCATGACTCTGGGTACAAGAGTAGAGTGGGGACTCAATTCTAACCTTTAGCCCTGCACATAAGCCTGCAGTCAAATAAACCAGGGCAGAAGACCAGAATTAAGGGGGAGTCAACAGTTCATTCCTTCTGAACCTGCAGAACTTTTCACTGGCCTAACAGCAACTGGTCCAGCAACAATCTATAGAAACTCACACACACAAGCCAACAGATCTAAACATGGTCCAGGCCAGCAGGGCAGGGAATAGATCTCTCCCCAGATCATACCACTTTGGAAGCACTGAAAACTTACAGGCCCCCGGACTGAGCTATGAAAGCAGAAGAACATTAGAAAGACAGAACCTTAGGCCAGTCATTCCTCACTCAGAGAGAAGCAGAACCCAACACTAACATAAAGTCCAAAGTCAACAAGTATAATGGAAAATTTAGAGACCATCAAAAAAAAAAAAAGAATCTGACCATAAAGAACTACGTGTTGACAGGGAAGCTTAAGATACAAACATAGAAGCCAATGACAGGGTAACCTTGAGAAGGGTAAGTATAAGAGAATAGAATGGAGGAAAACATAGAGCAATAATAACTGGGAATGAGAATGAGATGAACTTACCCATAAAACAGAAGACAGCAGAATGGATTAGAAACCAGAATTCAACAATACTTTTACAAGAAATGGCTTGAACCAGAAAGATATACAAAGACTTAAACTAAAGAGCCAGAGCAGAATCCTATCATGCTTCAGCTGGATTAAAAATAACTATCTTAAACAAAGCAAAAGCAAAAAAATATATAGACCTAATTAAAAGAGATAAACAGGGAAACCACATTTTGCTAAAAGGTATCATAGACAATTAATTCATTTCAATACTCAAAATATATGCACCAAACATTATAGCATCAAAATTCTTGAAGGAAAAGTTAAATGAGGAAATAGTGAAACTGTAATAGTGGAAGATAAATGTAACCATTAAATAAATAAGAAAGAGGTTATGGAGATAAATGTAATTTTAGGAATGTTACATATGCTAGACCTTTGGAGAATATTGAATGGGAAGAGAAAGGAGTATACCTGTTACTCAGCTATCTGCATGGCACCTTCACAAAAATTGACCATATACTGGGGAATAAAAGTTTAACAAACAAATGCAGAAAAGCAAAAATATTTTACATCTTTTCCTGATCATATTGTAATAAATATTACATTCAATAAAGGGCCTCTGAAACATAGATCAAAAATTAATTGGAAATTAAATGACCTCATCCTAAAAATAAGTAGGTCATAAAACAAATCATGGAAACAAAAAATCATTTCATTAAAGGTAATGACAACAATGAGACAATAACAAAACAAAGTTTGTGGGAGGCATTCAAAGCAGTACTTAGGGGAAAATTTATATCACTAAATGCTTACATTAATAAAAAAAGAGAAAGAAAAAAAACCTAGGAAAATAATATTTAAAATTCCCAACAAAACAGCAAAATGGAAATGCTGAAAATCAAAGGAGATATTAATAAAAATGAAAGTTAAAAAAAATTGAACTAAGAAATAAAACTGGGAGCTAGTTTTACCAAAAAAGTCTATAAACTAGATAAACCACTGCCTAATTTGACTTAAACAAAAAGAAAGAAAATCAAATTATCAGTTTCACAGAGAAAAGAGGAAATTAATAACCAATAAAGGTGAAATAAAAGCAATTATTAGAAGACACTTTGCCCAACTATAGGCCAATAAAAGTGGCAATATAAATGAAATGGATGAATATTTATAAAATATAAATTGCACAGATAACAGAATAGGAAATAGAATACTAAGCCATAAATGAGCTCCCTAAGAAACCTTAATAACAAATAGATTTATGAGTGAATTTTATTGAACATTTAAAGAACAATTAATTCTAATACTACATAAACTGTTTGAAAAGATAAGTAAAGGAGTCCTACCAGATTTCTTCTATAACATAGAGTACTGATACCTAAATCAGGGAGAGCAAAAACAGAGAAAGAAAACTATAGACCAATTTCCCTGATGAATATTGATGCAAAAATTATTAGAAAACCAAATCACTAGTATCAAAAATGAAAAAGGAGAATATACCACTAATGAAAATGAAATTAAAGGAATTATTAAGAGTTATTTTGCCCAATTATATGCCAATAAATTTAACAACTTAAGTGAAATGGAAGAATACTTACAAAAATATAAATTGCCCAGATTAACAGAAGATGAAATAGAATATCTAAATAAACCTATTTTAGAAAAAAGAAATTGAATAGGCCATAAATAAGATTCCACCCCCCCGCAAAAAAAAGTATCAGGACCAGATGGATTTACAAATGAATTCTACCAAACATTTAAAGATCAACTAATTTCAATATTAAATTAATTATTTGGAATAATAGGTAAAGGAGTCCTGCTAAACTCCTTTTATGAAACAAATATGGTGCTGATACCTAAACTAGGAAGAGCAAAAACAGATAAAGAAAATTATAGATCAATTTCTCTAATGAATATTGATGCAAAAATCCTAAATAAAATACTAGGTAGGAGACTACAGAAATATATCACAAAGATTATACATTGTGACCAAATAGGATTTTTACCAAAAATGTAGGGCTGGTTCAATATATGGAAAAGTATTAACATAATTGGTTATATCAATAACAAAAGCATAAAAATTATATGATTATATTAATAGATGCAAAAAAGGTTTTTGACAAAATACAACACTTATTCCTTTTAAAAAACACCAGAAAGCGTAGGTATAAATGGGTTTTTCTTTAAAATGATAAAAAGTATCTAAGTAAAACAATCAGGAAGCATTATGTATAACAGAGATAAGTTGGAAGCCTTCCCAATTAGATCAGGAATGAAACAAGGATACCCATTATCACCAGTATTCTTCAACATTGTACTAGAAATGTTAGCAATAGCAATAACAGGAGAAAAAGAAATGGAAGGAATCAGAATGGGCAATGAGGAAATGAAACTATCTCTTTTTGCAGATGGTATGATAGTATTCTTGGAAAATCTTAGAGATTCAACTAAAAATTGTTTCAACTCAGAACTTAAAATGTAACAAAAATAACTAAAATAAATATGATTGAAAAAAAGATAATCACATGTAAAAGACTTAGTAACTCATTAACACAATGACTCACCACAATTCCAAAGGACTCATGACGAAAATTACTATCTACCTTCAGAGAGAAAACTGATGGACTCAGAGTGCAGTTTGAAGCATTTTTTTTTCCTTTTTCTTTTTCTTCTTTTATTTCCCCCATATCATAGGTATTGTGGAAATTTGTTTTTCTTGATTTCATATTTGCAATGGGTTTAGTATTTCTTGCCTTCTCAATGGATGACAGAGGAGATAGGTGGAAGGAGAAAATTTGTAACAGAAAATTAAATTAAATTAAATTTAAAAATTAAAAAAATTATCATTTAACAAAAATTATACTTTTACTTCCTCATATAGTATTTAGAGTTGAAAAGCAATTGTTCTACTTTTATCTATGGTGAGAATAAAATACCACTGAAATACTTAAAAATATGTCATTTTACACAATTTTTGTCCCATTTCTAGTTTTATTTATAAGTGCTCTTGGAATGATAAGACTTAGTGGATTCTTATGATATGGTTTTTTTTCTGGTTTATTTTCCCATCATCTTCTTCTACTTTAGAAAGTGATGCTTTGGAAAATGAATTGATTATTGTCCTTCATTCTCAAACAGGCCCAAAATGACATCATTATGCTAGAGTCAAGTTATAGTGTGTCTGACTGTGGCTGATCAGAACAATACAAGCTCGGAATATTCTATTATAGGGAAAAATGAGTAAGTGATACAGTGGGAAGCATGTTAGCTCTAGAGTTAGTGGACCGGGGTTCAAATCCTGTTTTGAGACTTACTAGTTCTGTGACTTTGGTCAAGTCCTTAAACTTAGCTGGGCTTCAGTCTCC